CAAACAATCCTACATAAGTAGAGTTAAAAGTTTGCTAAAGGTACAGAACAAACGCAAAAAGAACGGTGTATGTCAGTTGTTGCCACAGAAACAACGTATCAATCAGTGTGAAACTTGTGTGAATAATAAGAAAGTTTCTGAAACAAGAAGCGCATTAACTTAATATTTTAACAATTGATACATGGAATTATACATAAATATTTCAATCCCCACATATTAAGTTTATCCAACAAGTTATTTGATACATCAAATACAGCTTATCAGCCAGTAGTGGCGGACCGGCCAACCGGGCAAAATCCCGGTGGGCATCACTAGAACTCCATCAGTGATGTTCCCTCAAATTTTATAGTTTACTTACTTAATAACATTTACACCCGTGTTCATAGATTAAAATCAGTGTCCTTTAACTATATCGAATGTCCAAATTAGTGTAGAACACTATAATAAATACTGAATACCCATTATATACAGCCAATATTTATACCATTCTTCTTGCATGTCTTGCCATAGGTAAATATAAAACACATTTATTGTCTCTTGAGGGAAGTGTTTTAAACAGTAAAATGTGTCGCATTCTGAAAACCACTAGTACATGTTTAGATTTTTGCTTATGAAATACAAGGGGATTCTCAGTAACTTTCTACGTATAGATCTAGATACTTATGTAGATCTTTCCATGCATGCTGCGTACGCGTACATAGAAGTTACAACGCCATACTTCTCTCCTGACTATTACATCATAGTATTATGTTTTGTATAAAAGTCTGAAAAAGAATCATGAAATGATTGCATAGTATGAGCAAGTTCTGGGTCTGTTGTTTAAAGCTGACAACAGTGTGTAGACTTCATACGTTAAAACAATAATGTCGGAAAAGAGGAGACAAGCTAAGCCAGTGGATGTCAAAAGAGCAAATCTTCTAAAATGAGAAAGGTGCAGGAGTTTGGAAAAGTTACTTGAGATATTGAATCAGCATTTGACATTAAAAGTGCCCTGTTGAATAGTAATGAATAATTCTCGGGAAGTAGATCTGTGAGTAAAACACTTATTAAAGTTTAGTTTTGTTTATATAAATATCAATTTGAGCACATTATTATTTTGTAGTAATGGAGTACTAACGGTAGTTTAGTTTTGCTGATATTCATATTTACTGACAAAGAAACGTTCTTATCCACGAAAATATTAAAACTGTCAGCTATAATTGCTAGGCCCGGCATGGCCAGGTGGTTAGGGCGCTTGACTCACAATCTGCGGGTTCGAATCCCCGTCACACCAAACATGCTCGCCCTTTCAGCCGTGGGGGAGTTATAATGTGATGGTCAATCCCAATATTCGTTGGTAAAAGAGCAGCCTAAGAGTTGGCGGTGGGTGGTGATGACTAGCTGCCTTCCCTCTAGTCTTTCACTGCTAAATTAGGGACGGCTAGCGCAGATAGCCTTCGTGTAGCTTTGCGCGAAATTCAAAACAAACGAACTTTAATTGCTAACAAGAATCAGTACTGTGTGAAACTTGTAGGTCTTCAATTTGTATAGTGGCATAATAATGTATTATTATAAACTCAACTTGCAATTATTATATTAAGATTAATGAACTTGTTGCACCTGGCAACTTTGCTGGCGAATTTCATCGATAAATGTGCCGATACTTGGCGAATCCCTCCAGCAATAATAGAACTGAACAGTAGATTTCTAGTTTTGTGTTTCAGCTGCAAGATTATTAGATTATCAATACTTTGCATATAAATAATAATTTTGCACGTAAGTTGGCCAGTAAAATGCTTAACAGACCATCATATAACAAGCTTAATGCTTATTATAGGGTTTACGGTTGTTCGGTGATAATATTCGAAACCATCTCGCGAGGAAATCAATAAGCGCAGAACAGTCTCTCGTGTCTGTAATGATTTATTTTTTCAACATCAATATTTCATATATGTTAATGTATTATGTACAATAGCATATATTTTCAACAACTGAAATCATATAATAAATGTCGTTTAGACATTTATAAAATAATTTCATTTCAGTGGCGCACGCACATTTTATCAGGAGTTCTAAAACACTTTATGCCAAGTAGCAAGATGAGCTGAAAATCAGTACTTGTGTGGTGTCAGCGAATTTGCCTAACATGGACAAAATTTGATGGTAACATTCAGCAAAATTTACTAAATACAATAAGCCGAATGACTGTTATAAGAACGGTATGTAAATTATTCCTACATGATAATGTCACAGGTTTGACACTATCACATCTATTCATTTATTTGGCCAAAAGAACTATAAAATCACTTCTTACATTAAACATTTCAAAATAATCAACAGGTTTCACAAGCAAATGATCATGAAGAAACTTTTAAAACTGTTCATTCACCCAAAGATGATGATGATGTTAGAGCAACAGCTGCAACACACACGGCGACTCCATACATCAGTGAGAAATACGACACAGAGACATGAGCAGACGACTCTCAAGAAAATGAAATTTCTTATTGTATGAACATATTTCTAAACCACTATATGCACAACAAATTTGTTGTCCAACTTCTGGTTCGACCTCTTGAAAATATTCCATTCGACCCGGATGTGTACTACCGACAAACAATTGATGGTAAAAACTTTAAGAGACAATTACTCTTTTTTTTTCAAATCAGCAACAGAAGTTTTTCTGCATTATTTGCCTGTACTTTTGAAGCAGTAACACTAGGTCTTCATTTGTACGTGGATGCAGTGACTGGTGCTATGTTAATTAACGTGAAGAGTAGCATGAAGAATCTAAGGAACACATGTAAAATTATGAAGTTCATGTGATGAATATGAAAGGTGGAAAACTCTTTTTCGCATTTACATGGCATGCTGCCTAAAAAACGAAAAATTGAAGTTCAGAATAATCGTAAAATTGTTGATATAATTATTACTGATATCAGGGTTCTTAGAAAGCCTAATTATCCATTTAGAGAACATAGAGGTGAAGCTGCACAAGAGCTGGAAAAAGATGAAATAAATCACGGTGTTTTCTTGGAACTGATATACCTTCTGAGTCAGTATGACATAACACTCTCAAAGCATTTGACAAAAGTAAATGCTAACTCCAGAGAACATAAAAAATCTTGAGCTACTGGAACAAGTGCTTCAGTTACTTTTATCAGTAAAACAACAGTCAACAAGCTGCTGTTATAATGAAGAATGTGATCCAGGACGTTATATCATATGAAGTTAGAAATGTTGGTATGTTCTCAGTACAGATTGATTCCGCACAAAACATCACTACAATTGACCAGTGAGCTGTAGTAGTCCGATATGTACTTGGTGGATAAATAATTGAAAGTCTACTAGCTCTCGTTCTCTCTCACGGCCACAGTGATAGTGTACAAGGGCTGTACGTTCTAGTAAAAAGTGTATATGGAGATTAAAACATTGATATCAACAAGTGTGTTTCAAACAACACAGATGGAGCATCAGCTTGACATGGACAGTACAGTAGCTTTCAGGCAAAGCTCTCTTCTGCTGTGGATACAAATGGCCACGTGTGGTTATATGCACATTTACTCAACTTAGTTATGACAGACTTGACAAGGTATGTGTTGCAGCAATATGATTATATAATCTGTTGCAAAAAGCCGCGGATTTCTTCGAAAGTTCCTATAAGCGAATGGATGTCTGGAAAAAGGAAATTGAGAGCAGGTTAGGGGCAGACACATTGAAGATAATTAAGCTTATAGATGAAACATGTTGGTCAGAAAAATAAAATGCATTATCAACTCTATTCAGGAAATCTACAGACCATTCAAGAGCTGTTTTCTGAGATCTGATGAAGTGTCTGGTTATATTGAAGTATTCAAAGTCACATGATACTGCCACCAAAACAGAGGCTAGGGCTTTCTGAGGTACGAAAGAATTTTGAACGTTCACACATTCATGTTCATTTTCAATTATATCACACCTGAATCAGGAAACCTTCAAACAAGTGGTCTTGGAGGCAAATACAAGAGTGTACAGTTCAATTTGGAGTACTGAGAGGCGACATGTAAAGCATTGTAGCTAGAGCAAACGAAATTGTCAGACAAATGAACGATATTTTGTGCTATATTGATTGGCCAGGTCTTTTAAACGTTGAGAAATTTGATGAAGTCAAGGTGTCAGCTAAACTGTCTGTCCAATGGAAGAGAAAGCGAAAAGCTAAGTATGATGAAACATGATCTGTAGAAGATCATGCAACTACATCACCCATGATTACGCACAGGATTGATACTTTCAACGTGGTATCTGATCAAGCAATGGGAAACCTGACGAGACGACTGTTTGAAGATGGTCAGCTATATGCTGTGCTTTGACACAAAGAAAAAGGGCCTGTCTGCCGGCCGGATCACTGAACAAGATAGGTCAGCTCATGCCACACCTAGATCTCATAAACGTAAGACCTGAACTGGAACTCAAATTCAGATTTTCAGGTACTGTTAATGCACATAAACGTTGGACACTTACACGCATGAGTTATGCACATATAAAACGGGAACATACTAATACATAAAGTATATATATGTATGTATTTTAATTTTTATACACACCAGATCTCTGTGATAAACTACTTTTACAAATGAGTTTCGTATACCAATGAATATGATTATATCATTAGTGTGTACTATTTTAAATTAAGAATTAAGGACAGTCTTTATAATAAGCGTAAAATTATTCTGGTGTTTATTTCTTCTTTTCAAGTTATGGATTCCTCACCCGCAGTCTAATGATATGCAAGTACAATATGCAGTGCAATTTGATTTATTTCTCAGTGATTATAGGTGACCAATGGAGTGCCCCCAATAAGCCACTGGCAGTGCCCTCAAAGGGGACCCAGTCAGCTAGTGATGAATAATCAATAAATATTCCGAGATTAGCCCCTTCAAAAAAAAAAAAACTTCTGACCCTATCCAGACTAATCATATTGTGATTTTCATCTTTACCTAAACTAATTTCTCAATAAGTAATAAGGCTTAGATAAATAGAAGTTTTCAGAAGATAAAAACCATGATGAGATAGATAAGGTAAATATTGTCCTTATATAAAACGTAAACGCACAATAACAATGGTTGACGAAAATCTAAACAAAAACTATGCCATCAGTTTCTTGTTATCCAAAGTTTGTTATCCAAAAAATGTGCTGTTTCTATATCTTATCGGGTAAAAACTATGCCATCAGTTTCTTGTAATCCAAAGTTTGTTATCCAAAAAATGTGCTGTTTCTATATCTTATCGGGTAAAAACTATGCCATCAGTTTCTTGTTATCCAAAGTTTGTTATCCAAAAAATGTGCTGTTTCTATATCTTATCGGGTAAAAACTATGCCATCAGTTTCTTGTAATCCAAAGTTTGTTATCCAAAAAATGTGCTGTTTCTATATCTTATCGGGCAAAAACTATGCCATCAGTTTCTTGTAATCCAAAGTTTGTTATCCAAAAAATGGGCTGATATCAACGTATGTTGATATGAAGATACGAGGTTGGAGAATATGATGATTGGAAAACAAAAATCTTAACCTGTGTTTATTCATTAATTATAGCTTTAAAAGTACATTAACATGTAAAAATACTTGCCACAAAATCCTGTATATAAATACGACAAAAAAGTGAATAAAACGTTTAGTGTCGTAGACTCAAGGATGAGAATCTAATTAAGACCATGTTTCATTCGCGAACTGATTCCTTTTTCCAAGTCAAAGCAAAACGTGGACTTGACTTTCAACAAGTTAAAAATTCTTTAAAAGCTAATTCATTAATGTAACAAAAACTCGTTGGAAGGTACGCTTTTATATCTTTTACATAATTATACCTCCGGGCAGGTATGACTGTTAATTCCTGCGGCCTTTTCTGGAATTGTCTGACAGTTTTACAACAATGTACTTATACTCGAAATTCAATAATATTCACCATCCATGAGAAACAAGTATTGAAATTTTAGTTTTAAAATGAACTATCATTACAGCATTACATCACGGAGTAGGTTTTATTGAAGTATTTCTTTGTAGACGCAGTTATCAATGAAAGTGCATTACTTTTCTGTTGCGACACTCATTAGATTTTCACTAAAGAAAAAACAAGTGATTTTTTCAGTTTGTTTTTTTGATCGTTTTATATTTGAAACTTACTCCTTTTTGTAATTGGTTAAATCTGAAATATCATTTTTGTGGAAAATTCAATTGTTTTATTTATTGCTCAACTATAAAAATATTGCCTAGTTATAAAAATATTACCCGGTAATGATTGGTGATGATCGGTGCGGTAGTTTCCGAGATCCAAGTTTTGAACTTATACATCGCAAGCTCTATTATAATAAGATATATATATATATATACATACACTAGTTAAATTGTACAGTGCTTCTTTTGTAGACAATAAGAAAGACGTTTGTACAAGTCACGCCTTCTACAAACTAATATAAATGTAAGTCAACTGATGTGACAAACATAGCCCAACAGTTACTCTGTATCAAAACAATATAAGTCACACTTTATACAATAACATAGATGTAAAACAGCCGAAACAGAAAACTTAGCCCAACAATTACTGTGTATCAAAGCAAGATAAAGAGACCTACCCAATGGTGAGGCCATTTGTTCATCACAAAGGCAGGTCCCAGAGAGCGAGCTGGATTTAAAGAAGCTCCTGTTGCTGGTATCTGGAAAATGGAGACACACAACAGTTTGAAAACATATAACACCGTCAGGTTGGTTAATCGTTTCGGGTTATAGAAGGCGCCAACGCGAGTATCTACGGCATGGGGTCCACGGGCCCACTTTAGGTTCCCTGGTGTGGTCCAGGGACGACGCCTCCGGAAGTTTTGCACATTTGTGTCATCTGGAGTAGAGAAAATGTGCCTAAAAATGACTCCAAAATCATCTCGTAAACTTTCAATGCTCAACTTTCGAGAGTGGGGTTCGAAAATATCCTTCACATTGTTAGAAACCATACTAACAAACCGCCTGTTTGTGGGCTAAAATCATTATGACATTTTTTTCCTTTCGTTTTTTAGGGCCATGACCCCCTTGGATCCGCCAGTAGGGTGGAAGTCCCCCCAAGAAAAAATGGCGTCACTAGTTTCATAGGGTGAAATTCATTACCACTCGCTGTTCTGCTTAGATATAGCCCAACAATGCAGTCTTCAGATAATCTTTTGCTTAGGCTATGTAACTTAAGTTAATATTTTTCACGTTACAATCAAAAAATTAAGGGTATATATGATAAAAACTTTGAAATCAAATATCTCAGAAAACAGTTATCACCACACGAGATTCCTTTTTGAGAGATAATACTAAGTTATGTCTAATCCGTTCTAAAAAGTATCTATGTGAACTTGATTAATTAGGTTTTCCAAAAGCCTTAGAATATTTCACTCAAATAATCGCTCGAAATATGCTATCTAGAACTGATTTCTTTTTTTCAATTGTTATAATCCGAAATAAGCAAAATGATATACGATACTCAATGACTTCTTCTGACCCCGTGACCATTTTGGCCACTAAATGTTTATTTTTGCAAAATGTAAATTTTTGTTTCTTTTGTTGTTGATGTTGTTTTTTTTTTTACAAAAGAGGGTAATAATAGTTTCAGCAGCACGAACTAACAAGCACTTTACAGTTTTAAATAAAGCCTAAAGTTTCCAGGTTTTCAATGATATATTGGAATACAAACAGTATGGTGTTAGAGATGTTTTATGCACGTTACCATACAGCGTGGTTTATTCATATGAAATGTCTAACAAAACAGTACAAAAACAAAAATAGTACGAAATTCCACACATCCTTTCCATCTCATCATATTCTTATGTATAAATTAAACTTAATAATATATGCATTACTACATTGAAATCAACTGTTAGATGTTTCTTTTGTCGCTAGTTCCAACGTAGAAAAGAATGCGCGCTTCCCAATTATTCGTTGCCGTGGTGATTATCAACCAAGCCTAAACTGAATTGTATGCAGTTCAAAATATATGTTACCGAACTTCGACGGAAACGAGAAATCCGACTGCTCTTTCTGATGATTGCTTGTTTGTTTGTTGTTAAGCACAAAGCTAGGCAATGGGCTTGTCTTTGCTGTGCCTACTACGAATATAGAAACCCGTTATCAGCTCTCGGACTTACCGCTAAGCCACTGGGGAGGGTCTCTCTGATGAAGAAAAAACTCCATTTGTAAAGTTGAACCTATTGATATTACAAATGTCTTTTTTTTATTTTTGATAGTACATTTTTAGAGCTGCATATATGATGTTTGGCTGTAAACTTCTCTTGGTTTTCAAGATGAGAAAAAGTATAAATTACTTTGCTATATATATACAAAGAGAGAAAATTAGATCACAATTATAATCGAAAAACAAAACAAAAAATCTTTATGGTCGCTCAAAATAATTTACAAAGGTTTTTGCTTCTCCCAGCAAAAATGCAATAAAATACCTACTTTAAACAAAACAGTAATATTTTGAATAAAATGCATGAATTTAAATACTGAGAATGAGAATATCAATGATGAAAAGGATATTTTATGACGACGTTTTCAATTATTACAAAGTTAGATTGATCCTTTTACAAAAAGTAAAATGTTGATAAGTTAAAACAGATACTTAGAAAAAAAAGTAGCTCAAAATCACGGCCGGTCGTACAAAATAATTATAATGGTGTAATAGGCTGAGAGAAGTTATAGATATCTCTATCCTCTTCACAACCATTAAAATGACCTGCATACTGTATGTTTTTTTTCTTTGTCATTTCAAACACATGGCCTAGTAGTTAGGGTGTTCGATTCGCAATCTACGAGTCACGTGTTCGAATCCCATCACCGAAGATGTTCGCCTTTTCAGCTGTGGGGTGTTATAATGTGGCGGTCGATCCCATTATTCATTGGTAAAGAGTAGCAGTGGGTGTTGTTGACTAGATGCTTTCCCTCTAGTCTATCATTTCTAGGTTAAGGACAGCTAGCGAGAAGTTTTGTGTGAAATTCAACAACAAAAAACATTCGAAGCATCCGCTCAAGCAAGATTCGTGAAGTTTATACAGTTACACAGCGAGATTACAGTTCAAAAGTTTACTTCGTGACCATTCATTTCAAAAATTCACCGATTAGGTTGCTGTGTCTCTGGAAGCAATGTGTGTTTTCGACTGAAGTCATGCTGAGACTATACTTAGCTTTTCCTGTGGATCGTAGGTATGTTTTGATAAGCTGTAGTTATGGAAGAGTAGCAGTAGCGATAGCAATGGGCGTGGACAGAAAAATATGTAACGCAATCAACATTTTTTGGATAAGCAGATTGGAGTATAGGGTGAGGTATCTAGTCGAGGAGCCTCACAGCGAATATAAGTGAAGAGTTAACGAATCTCCAAGTCAACTCGAGTTTCAGTCTACTGACTTCTGAAACGTCATCCTCTGTCAACAACAACTTTAAATCAGCACTGATTGGTTAGTTCTTTGTGGCAGCTGTTTAGTATCACACTGAGCTCCACATTTTTCACTGAACTTCAGTAGTTATTCAAGTCTTTCATAGAACCAAGAATGGATTCTACTGGAGAAAAAAAACAAGACAAGCTTGAACTCAAAAACTTGCTAATTTTTTTCTGAATGTAACAGATAACTTCAGAAGCTAAGACAATCTTTCTTTCAAAACCGTAAAGTTTCATTCTCAAATTTTCTACAATTTTCTAGGATAATAACACCAGCCTTGCTTCAGATGGTTGGTCGAACAGAAAAACTCTCTAGGTCGATGACGTTATCTTTACTTCAGATGGTTGGTCGAACAGAAAAACTCTCTAGGTCGATGACGTTATATTTACTTCAGATGGTTGGTCGAACAGAAAAACTCTCTAGGTCGATGACGTTATCTTTACTTCAGATGGTTGGTCGACCAGAAGAAACCCTCTTTAACGATGACGTCATTTTTACTTCAGACGATTGATCGACAAGAAGAAACTCTCTAAGACGATGACGTCATCTTTGCTTTAGACATCATCAGCTGATCGAAAGTGGAATTAACGGGATATTTCCAAATCAATTTCTCATTTAGTTTTAGTTTAAAAAAAACGAAACATATTCAGAAATTGAATAGAGAATAACCTAGAGGTGCGCCCCTTTAAAAACGGCTATTGTCTTTCTCAAGCCTTACTCATTATCAGATGTCAGAAAACGAGTCTGAGATCACGTGCTCATTATTAAGTAAAATGTTTAATGCCATCCGAAAATCATCTTTATTTCCTCAACAAAATTCTATCGTAGTTCAGACAACTTGGTTATTGGTAAACATTACAACATTTTCGTACACAAAATATGAGGTTTTCAAATTAAGTAATAAGATTTTTTAATGAAAGATTTTCTCGTAAACCTTTTTCTTTCAGAATGTTGACTATCTAACATGCAAATTAATTTTGATTTTACGATTAAAAATACTTTAATGCATTAGAACATTTTCAAATTTCACATGTGAAATCTTTATAATCT